CTGTCAACTCTGTGGCTGGGCTCTGTGGCTGGGCCTTGTCCTCCTCTTGTCCTCCTCTTGGCTGCGCCCCTGAACTCTGTCAACTCTGTGTCCTCCTCTTGGCCGCGCCCCTGAACTCTGTCAACCCTGTGGCTGGGCTCTGTGGCGCAGGCTCTGACATACGCTCCAGAAAGGCGCGCTCAGAGGGCGCTCTACAGAGAGAAAGACAGAGAAAGATAAACTTGAAGAGAAAGAGAAAGAGAAAGAGAAAGAGAGAGAGAGAGAGAGACAGAAAGAAAGAAAGAAAGAAAGACAGAAATAACGACAGACAGACAGACAGACAGAAAGAAAGAAAGACAGACAGCAGGGCGAGCGCGCGTGCGCTCGTGTGCTATGGACGGCGCGCTCACGCTCCAGAAAGGCGCGCTTAGAGCGCGCTCTGCAGAGAGAACGACAGAGAAAGAGAAACTTAAAGAGAAAGAAAGAGAGAGAGAGAGAGAGAGAAAGAAAGAAAGAAAGAAAGAAAGCAAGCAAGCAAGAAAGCAAGAAAGCAAGAAAGAGAAAGACAGCAGGGCGAGCCAGCGCGCGCTCGTGTGCTTCGGACGGCGCGCTCTGCGCGCTCTGAAATACGCTCCAGAAAGGCGCGCTCACAGCGCGCTCTGCAGAGAGAAAGACAGAGAAAGAGAAGCTTAAAGAGAAAGAGAGAGAGAGAGAAGAGAGAGAGAGAGAGAAAGACAGAAAGAAAGAATGAATGAATGAATGAATGAGTGAATGAATGAGTGAAAGAATGAAAGAATGAAAGAATGAAAGAATGAAAGGAAGGAAGAAAGACAGAAAGACAGAAAGAAAGACACAGAGAGAGAGAGAGAGAGCAGGGGGAGCTCGTGTGCTATGGACGGCTTACTGGGCTCTTGTCCTCCTCTTGCCCTCTGTGCTGGGCTCTGTGGCTGGACCTTGTCCTCTTCTTGTCCTCCTCTTGTCCTTGTCTTGGCCGCGCCCCTGAACTCTGTGTCCGGGTCTTGTCCTCCTCGTCCTTGTCTTGGCCGCGCCCCTGAACTCTGTGGCTGGTCTCTGTGGCACGGCTTACTGGAGAGGAGTGTGGCCGAAGAAAATAGCGATGTCAATGCCGACAAAAATTCATTCATAAGCAGTTTGCTCTTGGGGTGAAAGTAGGGCGAACCAAGAAATCGATTTTTGACTAATATTGGTCTAAACCAATCGTTTTGAAGCTGTTTGGGGTCTATGCTTGTATAATCGCTTTTCCAATCCAAAAAACATCCTCGAAGACTATAAAAAGAATGGTCTGACTATGTCTGACTAGGTGACCTGAGTTCGGGAAACGTCTCCCGGTCGGCTCGCGTCTCGTGCCGCCCCCGTGCCGCGCGGCCGGGTCCGGGGGTCGCGGCCTGCGGGGTTCATGAAGGCGTTCCAGCGCGGCCACATGAAGGGCGACAGAACGAAGTAGACGCCGCTGGCCAAGGCCGCCGAACTGGTGCCTGGAACAGAATGGAAACGGCCGCGAACGGCGCGCACGGACGGGAAAGGTGAAGATGAAGGTAAAGGTAAAGGATGAAGGTGAAGGGAGGTGCTTTTTGCGTGCGGAAAAACGGGAGGTCAAGGAAAGGAGACCAGACGGATCTTGGGAGATTCAGGGACTCTGAAGTGACCGTGAAGTCATTGAAGTGAGAGGTGAAGTGACTGTGAAGTGACGTGAAAGAGACTGGCTGGAGTCTAGTTTGGCACAGGGAGACCAGTTTGGCACCTCTGAAAGCACCGCAGTGACCGACCAGTGGCGGACTGAATGTGCATCCCCTCCACCTGCATCCATTTGAGTGGTGAAGTCTCCCCTCGAAGTCGAACTACCATGGTTTAAATAGCCTGACATAGCCTGACATAGCCTGCATCATCCCCTAACAAGCATGGTTTTACTAAGGATTTTGCACTACAAAACCAGACTGGATCTGATCTATGTTGATCTATGTTGATCCTACATAGTCATGTTGATCTTGTTGACTGGATGAACATAGATCCTTGGTTGAATGCTTGATCTACTAGGATCATTCGCAAGTCAACCATTCTGGACTTCCAAGGTCTCCTTTTCAGCCACCTGCCCTCCTGAGACCTTTTTCCAGTGCGCCGGGAGCCTTTTCAAAGAATGAGCTCCATGGACTGCGCACAATGAAAACTACCAGCAGTCACCAAGGGGTGCTATCCATGGAGGTTGGGGGTGCCCATGATCCACTCGCTTAGGGACTAAACACCACCCCGTTGTGACTGCTGGTACATCAAGCGTGTCTGCAAATGGTTCTTCGTCGTTCGTTGCTCGTCATTCACGACTCTCGATGGCGAACTCTGGACGGGTTGCCAGCGGTCTGTACAACCCTTTGGAGGGTTCCATTACCATAGACCATCATAGACCTAGATTTCGGTGCTAGTGGTTCCGTAGTCGTTTGAAATCTTTTGGCGGAGGGAGGCCACCGCTGCAAGTGGCTGGTGTAGCCACCCAAACGACCCCCAACGAGCCGCCCGCCGCCCAGCCGGCCCCTCTGCTCGACGACCCAAGGCCCCTCTGCTCCGCCTCCGGTCTTGTTGCGCCGGGGGTTCTGATTGGACACGGCCTGAAAGGTCACGCTCGCGATCAACGAGGACGGGTGTGGAGGGACGGCTTTCAAACGAGGAGGTTCGCGGCTCGCGATCAACGGCGTTCACCTGACCAGCCTGATTTTCAGTCTGACTTTCCTGGGTTAAGTTGAATGAAATGGGCAATTGGTCACTTGGACCAACCCCCAAGGTAGATATCCTTTTGTCTTTCTCCTTAACGAATTCACCACCCCAAAATGTTCACAGAGCGCGCGCCGCTCCCGCGCCTCCCCCTTTGTGGCCACCTTCGCGCGCGGCCTGGGTGCCCCGGGCTGAGTTGCCCATGACGACGGCCATGGCACTGGAGCTCAAGTCGCAGTCGATGGTGGTCGAGGGACCCATAATCCCCAGCCTTGGCTTCGGATCTTGTGCGGAGCTTGACAGGACGAGAGGCCGAGAAGCCAAGATAGTCACCAGAGAATCCTATACAAGAAGGACAGGATCATGCATAAATCCCCAGTGCCCAGGGGGTTCTATAGATGGTTTGAGTCTATTTCCCCACTCGACAGGGCTGGGGCAGCTTGATGTTCGAGTAACGTGACCTGTGCTGTAGGGCATCACCCAATGCCTGGCCAGTCCAATGACAAACAGTAGCAGAGACAACGCACGATGACGCACACCCATTCAAAATCCGAGGTTGGAGCATTGCCAGAATCTGTTGTCAAGTTCAATCTCCACAATGACAACACCAAACATAAGCACAAAACATCCCGCCAGCCACTGGCCGAGTGGAACAAAATGACAGCAAGCAACAAACATCGACATAACCACATCACACAGCAACTGACAATACGCAAAGACGAACACAACAAACAAACAACAGTGACATCCAAAGTGGCAACACCAAACCGAAGAACGACACACAACACTTGAAACTTGACTCAATACACAAAAAACGACAAAATGCAATGACTTATTGGCACATTAATAGTGGCCACGTCGGGGGCGTGGAAAAGCAAGCATCGCATCCAAACGAGTGGGCGATCAGGTGTGCTTCTGTTTCTGCGGCCGCTGCTGGTTGGTCAGTTTCATCGTCTTAAGGATGGGTCCGTTGAATCAGCGGGTCCGGAGTTCATCTCATGATCTTTTGCAGCGGGTCCGAGTATCCCAATGGACCCGTTTTTATATGGATATGTTGTTCGTTTGGTGGACGCCACTCCACAAGCAGCTACATGAGTGTGGATTAGAAATCAGGAGATCCCTCAAAGTTTTGTGGGAACATCAATAAATCCATTGCTGAGGAGGTCCCTGAAAATCCAAACCCACATAGCTTTGCAAGCCGTCCGGTGTCTCTGCATCATCCGAGCAAACCTCTGCAGTGTGCTTCGACACAGCTTTCCAACGACTCCTGCAGCTGCCTCCTGCAAATGATGAGCGGCCCGACCAGACGTTTTGCCGAATGGCTGCGACAAGCTGCACGTCCGCCAGTTCGCTTCAACTGATCGGGCGATCGGCAGTGGCATCAAAGCTTTCGAACAACTTGCAGGTGACGTTTACCGTGTCGCGCGTGGTCTTGTCTCTTGAAGTAGCTGAGTAGCCACGAAGCTTGCAAGCTGAGCTTAATGTATGAAACAGGTCCGAAGGCGACATGCACGGCATGCACGGCATGCCCATCACGCAAATCAATCTTGACCGTGATCCCCAAATCATCGATAGAAAATACCTTAAATACAATCAAAGATGGGAGAATGCGTGTTTCAAGCCGCTTGCGGCGCCACTTTCTTTTGGTCAATACACCCTTAGCTTTTCCTTGATGTTTTCCGTGTTTTCTCCACACATGCCCAAATCGTCCCCTCTGAACAACCTGTCCCATCTCCCAAATCTGTCTGTCCCCTCCATCGAGTGTCCCAAGTGGCAAGAACGAGACACGATTCGAGGTAATGGCCTCAAAGGGCCACGGTGTCACAGGTACCACTGGGTCGTCTGCACCGGTGCGCCCCGTGGAAGAGACACTCATGAGACAGAACACGCCTCACAAAAAGGGGTCTATATCACTCCTCCCAAAAACAATCCCAGGAAGTTCTCATCTGTGACTTCCTAGTCCTCTTAATCCCAAGTCCCAAAAAAACCTCCGTGGCTAGACCGTAAGAAAGGCAAACATGTCTAGTGAGTCTAGTAGGAGTCATCCAACGTGTTCAAAAAGAGCCTGGCCTAGATAGTTCCCCAAAAGCGTCTAGTGACTCCTTCTTTTGGGAACTATCAAGACTATATCTAGACCCATGGTCATCTGGGTGACCATCTGGGCGTATACTTACGTGGAACTAGACATATCTAGACCATCGTTCGTCACTCCATTGGTTCCTTCTTCGGGAACCAACCCGACCGTGGAACCCGACCCGCGTCGATCCAACCCGGTCCACCTGACCGTTCGGAGGCGAGACCGAGGCGTGAGGCGATGTGCGCCCGTGAGACCGAAGTGGGTCGGAAAGCAGCTGTGAAGACTTGGGTTGGAAGCCCAAAGAGTTTAAGAGGACATGAGCACGGACCTGAGAATGAAAGCACGGATCTGGGAACCAGTGAGATCTTGAAGTAAAAAGCATCTCTTCTGAAAGGTTCCACGTAGGGCCCGGTTTGTTTGATGTTCGTTTGTTGTCTTTCTATTGTAAGATATCTACGTATTTAATGCTCTAATGCTCTACTACATGCCGAAACGGTGGGGGTTCTTTTCTGTTTCTCCAATAAAGAGAAGGCGCTGAAAAAAAAAAAATATGCATATATGCCATATGCATGATAATTACGCAAATGATCCACAAACCATGGTGCCCTTTTCGCGAACTGCATCCCCCCCGAGGCGCACCGAACTGTCCGCCCCAGGCGCCGCGGAGGCGCCGGTGCCGCTCAGCGCGCCGACGTCCTTGGGGACGAACCTGCGCGGTGGCGTGGCAGGGGCGCGGCTCGGGGTCTCCAATGGAATAACCCTACACTACTTAGTGGATCTACTACTGTGGACACACCCCAACTTGGTCCAGAGATGTCCAGATGGCCTTTTACTTATCCCTGGGAGTCAAAGACTATAAAAAGAATGGTCTGACTAGGGGACCTTTCGGGAACTTCCTGCAACCTTCGGCCGGTCAATATATAGTCGAACTGGGCTTCCAGGGCTACTTAGTGGATCTACTGTGGATACACCCCAACTTGAAGGTTTAGAGATGTTCAGAGGTATGTCTGTTTGAGTGGTTTGAAGTTCCCAATGAACCAATTCCAAATATTTGGGCGGTGTGAAAGGTTCGAGATGCCACGCCTTGGGGATGCCACACCTTCAAAGTGCCACTGACCTTCTCAGGTTCGGTACGACTGGACCCTCCAAAGAAAGGTAAGAGTGTCTCCAATCACCTTCTCAGAGGGATTTCCATAAGGACAGGACTCTACCAGGAGCATGCTGTCTGGGTGTCCTGGCTGGAGATCCCGGATAGCAGGCTGGTATCATTGAGATACCCCTCAAAAGCGCTCGCATACCGAACAACCAAGCTGGTTGCTTGAAGGATCTTTTGCTATAAGGATTTTACCGAACGCCACAGACTCTAGGGATTCCAAGCACAGAACCCTACCGGAACCTTCCCCAGAAACCATCCTTGAGATCCCAGGTTCAACAGGCCAGGTCTGTAGAAGGTCACTGACCAATCCTGAAGGTCGCTGGGAGAATCCTGGTAGGATTCCCGGTCACCCACCATTGAATTTCATTCGTGGTTCTTCCCGAACAACCAAGCTGTTTGACTCAGGACTTTGACACTTACAACAACCTCAGCTCTTTCCCATCGCTTTTCATGGTCGGAACGGAGGGGTCCCCACGGAAGAGGGGGGTGTGTTTCCGATCCTGTTCCCCCACCCCAAGAGGGGTTGAGAGACCTGAACTAGGACCCTGTAGTGGTACACATGGGATGGGCGAAAAAGGGGCTGAAACCAACCTCTCTAGGACCTTGTTGTTCCGCTCTCCATCATCGCCAGGCCACGAGTACTCGGGGTGAGTACCCCCCGTGAACACCGCGATATAGGCACGCTGCAGCTGAGCCTTCCGATAGCCTGGAGCTTCGGCGCCGCGTTCCGCGGAACGCGTAGCGGTAGAGTGGTGTTCATCCCCACGAAGAGGCGCGGAGAAGCGGGAACATCGAAGCGCTGTCAACGACGTCAGAAACCGCCCCCATGAACTCCCGTGCTCCGCAGGACTTGGACACCCTTCGCGCTCGTTCGCCCAAGCACAGCTTCGTCTCGCCGAGGCGGACCCCGCCCAAGCCGAGTTCGTGTCGCCTGAGTTGAAGAGCGCTTCGTAGCTCGTCTCCAAGACGTGCCGTTGCTGCGGATCCATCCCACCCGCCTCGCCCGACGGCGAGCCCGAGTGGAGTGGCGGGATGGTGCGAGCGCGGAGAGCTGAAGGAGGAGGAGGGCTTGACAAGTTGGTGGCCCGAATTTAGATCCTTGCACGGATGGGTCCAGACCATGTGTCTTTTTTGAGGGATTGCTTGCGGTTGTTCAAAGGTTGCCTGCAAGGTTTCAAGGCGTTGGAGATATCAACAGCCCTACAAACGCAACGCATTTCTTCAGGAGGGGAATAGGGCGAGTTGGGTGCGTTCGCCTCTTAGAAGTGGCCAAACTTGGGAGACACTTCAACCCGCTTGCAGTTGCCAATGGGTTCTGCGAAGAGTCCAAACAACAAGGGGTCTGCCATCAATTTTGTCTTTTTCCAAAAAACAAACTGTTCTTTGCCAGCTCAAGACTTCCAAAGCAACTGAAAACCTTTTACATAAAGAAACCTTGAAAGTTCTTCAGAAACCACGTGGAACCCTCGTTCTGGCTCACTCAGACCCCCTCGAAGTCCTTCCGGCTTCTTTGCCCCTGTGCCTCCAAGGAGGAGAGTTGGAAGAACTTGTTGTCGAAGAGCTCGACACCTCGCAGATGGAGAAGATGTTCCAAGAGAGGTAGCCAGGTCTCCCGGGACCGGACCCGGAAAACCTGGGGTACCTGGGTTCACCCCCCACCTCTGTTGGATGCTGGGTCGGAGTGCAAAACCTCATCACACCAGGACCATCCTGTCTGGATTCACCTGGCTGGACTTCCCCCATCGCTACCAAAGAATCTCCATTGGACACCCATTGGATGGTCTAGGTGGATGTCTTTTGTGAATTCTCTCCCCTGGAGGTGGATGGAACGGGGGAAGTGCTTGGTGCATGGGTGAAACCAGAGAACCCTCACTGAAATCCAGCGAACGCCGCCGGAGTCTCGACGGCACCCGGCAAAAAAGAAAAACCTCCCGACGAACCCGAGGTTCAAGAGCTTTGGGATTGATTAATGGGACAACTATCCAAAGGTTCCCCAAAGTACGAACATGGTCTATCCATCCCTCTTCTTTTGGGCGAACAGCAACCGATCCTGACACAAAAGAGGGGTGGTCTTCTCCGGTGATGTTTGGAGGATGACTTGCTGGCGCATTGGTGACCCAACGATTGAAATTGACACAACCACGAGGCGTTGCATCTTGGAAGGGCTCCATGTCTGGCTTCAACTTGACGAGTTGTGACTGGGCCACCAAAGTCGAACACGGATGTGGCGGTCAGTTGAGACGTCTCCAATCACTGGCTCAGTGTGCGCAAAAGGACTGGTCGAACACACCTTGGGTCTGCTTGCTTCGAGGACCAAGGTCCGCAGCTCCCGAAAGCCGTCGACATGTGGCCGGGTGGTCTCCCAGGCACCAGCGGGAGCACAGCGGGAGCACGGTGGCGCGGGTGGTGATCGCCGCGCTCGCCCGGTCGGTGGCGCGGGCGTCACCCTGCCTTCAACAAACTGAGCATGTCGGATGCTGGTCTTCAACAACATGCCTGGCATCGAACAAACGAAGTCTCACTACTGGACGGTGCGGGCTGAACTTGGAGATCGAGAAATACCGGCTTTACCAGCTTCTTCAAAGTGACCTTTTGGGAGGCCCTAAGTGACCATTTGCAAGCCCAAGTGACCACAAACCAACAGATCAAGTTCGGTCACTTTGAAGAACCTGGTACTAAGGATGTTACACCACTCGTACGGGCTTAAAGCTTTGAGAGATTCAACCCTTTCCATGCTCAAAACCGTTCTGATGTCCATAGCTTGTCTACCCTGGCAGCAGCGACATACTGGAAACACATACTGGCAAAACACAATGGCAAAAATGGTCGACATGGCCACTGTCTAACATCAACTCACCAGCCTAGCATACAGCAGCCCATCTGAGAAGTTCGTGGAGAGAAACAGTTTGGGCAAAACAACCCAACATCTGCGGGTGTCCCCCTTTCTCAGAGCCCTTTTGTGCGTGTTTTGTGTGTGCCAAACCACCCCCAAACCACCCGCAGTGGGATGGCTATGATCGGATATCAAAGGCACGAACGAGAGGTAGCCAGTGACCGTACTACTAGCACCCGGAAACACCTGGCAGATCCCGGGGTACCCTGGGAGAGTCGAACTAGGCGAAGCAGTCGGGTTCTGACCCACCTCTGTTGGTTCCCCGCCCACGAACCCCATCTCCTCGATCCATCCCAAAACCCCCAAATGCTGGCAGGCGCGCGTGGAACTTCCGTGGAATCCCAAATCCGGGTGAAAGAGAGTTCATGACGGGAACCCTTCGCTACGCATTCGGGAAAGAAAACACATGAAAAAACGGTCACAGTCAGGGTCAGATCTAGATAGAACGTCGGACGTGACGGTCGTTTCCATCTGCGACTCCCTTCGCCGCCGTCTTCGCCTTCGCCGGAATACATCTGCGACTCCATCCAGCAATTGGGATCGGGGTCGAACACGGTGTCGTGGTCCCAGCCTCACCATTCCCCCCCGTAGGGTCTGTCAAATTTCCGACCATATTCGGCGGAAAGGACCTTCCAAACTTCGTGTCATCCAACCTCTGTTGGTTCTCAGGCAGTGTGTCACACCCACACACACCCTAATTCCGGCCATGATCTGTGGTCAAGTCCATCAACATTTACACCGCATCAAAGCCTCCCCAAGAAACCGCCCCAAAAGGAACTTGCTGTACCTTCGCCTTTCCCCCCAAAAAAAGAAACACAGCACACCAGAATGTCCTGAAACTTCGCATCGAATCCCTGCCTTCCTTCGCATCGCATCGAATCCCGCATCTTCAAACACCCTCCCAACAATGGTTCCTCCCATCGCGCCATGTAATCCCGCATGGCTCTTCAAACACCTTCCCAACTGCCGAGAAGAGACGGCTGAAGGGCACATCACTCACCATGTCCGTCCCATTGATCATGGCCTCAAACCCCCGCTTTCCACACCAAGGTCGATCAGGGTGGATGGCGCGGATTAAGTCGATGCCGCAAACGATCGAAAGAGAAGGAGAGCAGGCAAGTGGAACTCCGAAGGTTCGACTTGCCACACATCCAAACCACCCTCTGGAGCAAATGTCCGGCTTTGTAGCCAACCTACAGGTTCAATCATGGCTTGAGCCAACCTAGAGTTTGCCGACCTACGGCTTTCGAACTCCAACCCAGCTCA